GCCAGGGCTGAATTGGAAGTCCTTCCACAGTCACAGAACTATGACATGATTGGAATAACAGAGACTTGGTGGGAGCTTGCGTGACTGGTGCACTGGTGTGGATTGTATACAAACTATTCAGGAAGGACAGGCAGGGGAAAAAGGAGGAGGAGTTGCACTTTATGTAAAAGAGCCATATGATTGCTCAGAGTTTCTTCCAGTATGAAACTAGCCTATCAAAAGTCTCTGGGTTAGGGTCAGAGGGGAAAACAACAAGGATGATGTTGTACTTGGGGGTCTGCTATAGACCATCAGATCAGGAGGAAGTGGTAGATGAGGCTTTCTTTAAACAGCTAGCAGAAGTTTCTCGATTACAGGTGCTAGTTCTCGTGGGGGACTTCAGTCACTTTGACATCTGCTGGGACAGCAATACAGCAGTGCGCAGGCAATCCATGAAGTTTTTGGACAGCGTTGGGGACAACTTCCTGGTGCAAGTGCTGGAGTGGCCAACTAGGGGCCGTGCTCTTCTTGGCCTGCTGCTCACAAACAGGAAAGAATCGGTGGGGAATGTACTAGAAGATGGCAACTTGGGCAGTAGTGACCATGAGCTGATTGAGTTCAGGATCCTGAGGAAAGGAAGGATGGAGAGCAGCAGAATAAGGACCCTGGACTTCAGAAAAGCAGACTTTGACTCACTAAGGGAACTCATTGGCAGGATACCCTGGGAAGCCAGTCTGTGGGGGAGAGGAGTCTAGGAGAGCTGGCCATGCTTTAAATAAGTCTTACTGAGAGTGCATGAACAAGCCATCCCTACGTGCAGGAAGACTAGCAAGTATGGGAGAAGACCAGCTTGGCTTAGCAGGGAACCCTTCAGTAAGCTAAATCACAAAAAGGAAGCTTATGAGAAGTGGAAACTTGGGCAAACAACTAGGAAGGAGTATAAGAGTCTTGCTCAGGCATGCAGGAGTGAACTAAGGAAGGCCAAAGCTCAGTTGTAGTTGCAGCTAGCAAGGGATTGAAGGGTAACCAGAAGCGTTTCTACAAGTATGTCAGTAACAAGAGGAAGATCAGGGAAAGTAGGGGTCCCTTACTGAATGGGGGAGGCTACCTTGTGACAGAGGATGCAGAAAAGGCTGAAGTACTTAATGCCTTTTTCACCCCAGTCTTCACAGGCATTGGTAACATGTAGGGGGTACATGTGCACCCCCTGAGATTGGCTGTGCACCCCCTAGAAGTGCCAGCTGTGAAACTGGAAGTGCCACTGGAAGTGCACTTCTGGTTTCGCCAGTTTTGCTGCTGGCTTGGCAATTGGCACTGGGAAACTCCCCCCCCCGCCCAAATCAGTGATTGGCTGCTGGGGGATCCTCCACCCCACCCCAGTTGGCGATCTGGTGCCCTGGGAGGCATCAGTCACCCATGTTCATAGGCAAGGTCAGCTCCAAGAGTAACGCACTTGGCAGCACAGTTTGGGGAGAAGGTGACCAGCCAATAGTGGTAAAAAAACAGGTTAAGGGACTATTTAGAAAAGCTGGACATATACAGGTCTGTGAGGCTGGATGGGATGCATCCAAGGTCGCTGAGGGAATTGGCAGATGTGATTCCAGAGCCATCGGCCATCATCTTTGAAAAATCATAGCTTTCAGGAGAGGTCCTAAATGATTGGAAAAGGACAAACATAACACCCATATTTAAGAAAGGGAAGAAAGAGGATCCAGGGAACTATAGACCAGTCAGTCTCACCTCAGTTCCTGGAAGAATCATGGAACAGATCCTCAAGGAATCTATTTCTAAGCACTTGGAGGAGAAGATGGTGATGGGAAACAGTCAGCATGGATTCACCAAGGGCAAGTCATGCCTGACCAACCTAATTGCCTTCTGTGATGAGCTAACTGGCTCTGTGAAGGTGGGGAAATTAGTGGATGTGGTATATCTTGATTTTTAGCAAGGCTTTTGATATTGTCTTCTGCACCAGTCTTGCAGGCAAGCTAAGGAAGTATGGGCTGGATGAATGGTGGATAGAAAATTGGCTGGAGCTTTGGAGTTGAAAGGTAGTTATCTACAAGGATCCTGGTTTTCTCTGATGTGAAAAAATCCCCAACTTATTTGGGGTTACTTTTGTTTAACCAAAAATTGGGGATTTTTTTTTTCAAATCAGAGAAAACTAGGATCCCTAGTAATCAGTGGTTCAATGTATAGCTGGCAGCTGTTATCAAGTGGAGTGCCCTAAGACCTGGGGCCAGTTTTCATAGTTTCTAGGGTCAGAAGGGACCTGAGCAGATCATCTAGTCTGACCCCCTGCCATGGCAGGAAGAGCACTGGGGTCAAATGACCCCAGTAAGGTGGTCATCCAACCTCCTCTTAAAAACCCCCAGGGTGGGAGCCTGCACCACCTCACTTGGAAGCTGGTTCCAGACCCTAGCCGCCCTGACCGTGAAGTAGCGCCTCCTGATGTCCAACTTAAACCTTCCCTCCGCCAGCTTGTGACCATTGTTCCTGGTCACTCCTTGCAGCGCTCGGGGGAACAGGGACTCCCCCAGCGCCTGCTGATCCCCCCTAACCAGTTTATAACAGGCCACAAGATCCCCCCTCAGCCTTCTCTTTTGAAGGCTGAACAGGTTCAGGTCCCACAACCTTTCCTCATAGGACCTACCCTGCTGTCCCTTGATCATACGAGTGGCCTTCCTCTGGACCCTCTCGATGCTGTCCACATCTCTCTTGAAGTGCGGCACCCAGTTTTGTTCAATATCTTCATCAGCAACCCGGAAGATAGCATAGAGTGCACCCTCAGCAAGTTTGCAGATGACACCAAGCTGGGGGAAGTAGTAGATACACTGGAGGGTAGGGCTAGGATTCAGAGTGACCTAAACAAATTGGAGGATTGGGCCAGAAGGAATCCCATGAAGTTCAACAAGGACCAAGTGCAAAGTCCTGCACTTCGGATGGAACAATCCCATTCACCAATACAGGCTGGGGGCTGACTGCAGCAAAGGACCTGGGGGGTCACAGTGGACAATAAGCTGAATATGAACCAACAGTGTACCCTTGTTGCCAAAAAGGCTAACAGCATAATGGGCTGCATTAGTAGGAGTGCTGCCAGCAGATTAAGGGAAGTGATTATGCCCTTCTGTTCAGCACTGGTGAGGCCACATCTGGAGTACTGTGTTCAGTTGTGGGCCACTCACTACAGAAAAGACACAGGCAAATTGGAGAGATTCCAGAGGAAGGCAACAAAAATGATGAGGGGGCTGGGGCACATGACTCATAAGGAGAGGCTGAGGGAACTGGGCTTAGTCTAGAGAAGCGAAAACTGAGAGGGGATTTAATAGCAGCCTTCAACTATTTGAAGAGGGGTTTGAAAGAGGATGAAGCTAGACTGTTCTCAGTGGTGGCAGATAACATAACAAGGAGCAACGATCTCAAGTTGCAGCAAGGGAATTTAGGTTAGATGTTAGTAAGACTTTTCTCACTAGGAGGGTAGTAAAGCACTGGAACAGGTTACCCAGAGAGGTTGTGGAATCTCCATCCTTGGATGTTTTTAAGGCCTGGATAGACAAAGCCTTGGTTCGGATGATCTAGTTGGGGCTGGTCCTGCTTTTAGCAGGGGGCTGAACTAGATGACCTCCTGAGGTCCCTTCCAACCCTAATTTTCTATGATTCTATGCCTGGGACTGGCAGCAGTGGCAGCCAGAAGGAGCTGCCATTGCAAGGGCTGCCAGCAAATGAGTCTGGCATGGGCTACTCTGAGTGCCTGGGCTGAGCAGGACTGAGGGACCCGTCACAGGCTGGACAGAATCCTTTGGTGGACTGGATCTTGCCTGCAGGCTGTATTTTGCCCACCCCTGAACTAGTTGATGTCCTGAGATCCCTTCCATTCCTATTTTTTGTTGGCTGGAGGTCAGTAAGGTTGTACAGGAGAGACAAATTTATCCCATTTAATCCAAATCAATTAACCAGTTGTAAAACACAAGATTAATGTCTTACTTTAGGATTGTGCTTTGAGTATATTCTGTAACAGGGCCCCAGAAGGTTTTTCTGCAGTATGGGTTCAGCTTCCTGACCAAGACCACGCAGGAAATAACCTCTTGCTTAACAGTACTCTTGCCAACATCTTGGTATAAAAAAAGAACAACTGTACAGTTTTAGGGACTTTTTTAGATATTTGACATAGTTGTGTACATTTTACTTGCAAGTCTCTTATTTGTTTTTCCTTTCCAGGACAATTTAGTATTTATCTACACATGTCTACAATGAGCTCTGAAAAATCCTCTAGGGAGCCCAGTTAAAATCTGTTACTTGAGAAATTGTATTCATTAAGTCTACAACCCTTTGAACACACAGGAACACGTTTAATGTAAATAGTAATTCAGTTAGAGTTAATGGGACTATTCATGTAGTTAAACATGTGCCCAGGAGTTTCTAGAAATGGGGTCTAATATCTTTCATTCTACATAGTTCAAATGAACCTGTGAGGATCTGGGCACATTTTGCATCCTGTTGCAATAATTTACTCAAGGAAGTGAACACTTTCTTAAAATATTTTTTCTTAAATCCCAGTCTTTCCTACATAATATATTAGACCAATTTTACAATGTACATTGTTGAACACAAGTTGATCTTTACTAAGTATAATGCTGACTTTCTACTTTAACACCAGCATTTATATATTAATATTATTTTGTCAAAGATCAGGCCTGAATCAAGCTCACTGAAGTCAGTGGAAAGATTCCCATTAACATTTTGTGCTTCTGACCATATATAAGGCCCAAATTAAACTGTATCCAGAAAAGCACATAAGCATCTACTTAAAATCTCACTGACTTAAAAACTTTTAAAGTTTTGTTTAATTGAGGCACAAAAGCATAAGTCAAATGATTTTTGTATCATTTTTGTTTAGCATTTTGTGATGGCACTTATATTCCTGTGGGGGGAAAAAAATTAAAGTGTTAAATAAATTAAAGCAGAACAGCCAGGACTGCAGCCAGTATAAGGAAACCTAGTAAAATTTTGTTTTCGTTTCATAGGTGTACCTTGAAAGGAAATTGTACACGTTCAGACAGTTTACCAGATTTGGTTAACAGTTCACATGAAGTGGATCAGTATGTTGTAATCCAGATAAGGATCATGCATCATGAAAATAAGGCATGTATAAACCATTTTTTGTTCTTTCTTTTTTTTTAAAATTTTAAACAAGTGATTCTAGCATTTACTATAACTTGTTATTGTCATTATACTTTACGTACTCCACACACATTATATTCTTATCTCAACAACTAGCAATTAGGCTGGAGATTTAACTGATTGAATTCATAGGTGCAAGAGAGATTTCATTTTCTACTGCAAGATGGGCTATAAAGCCTATTGACTCAGTACTTCCTTATACTGACCAGGGGAGTGGCTGACTTGTTTTTGGGGTTGTTGTTTTTTTTTTAAACATATTTTGTCTTATAATTTTCAGCCATTGTGTATTAAATGCACTAACCAGGTTCCAGGGCTTATAAGTCATAAAATGTTTCAGCACAGACTTACAAACCCAATTTTTTTTATTCATTTACATGAATATCTGCAAAAATTTGACATGAAAATGAATAGAATAGAGAGAAAAAGAATCACAGGACAGTAGGAATAGTTCCATAGAAAGTCCTCTAAATGGCCAACAGAATGTAATAATAAAAATAAATCTTTTGTAGTGCTTTTCAGTGGTAGATTATACTTTTTAATAGAAGTGAATATTATTATTCTCATTTTGCAGATGAGTACACTTAGGCACAGGGAAGGGTAAGTGATTTATCCAAAGTCACACAGCAGGCTAGTGGTGGATAAGAATCCAGGTTTCCACTAGAGAATTCCATAGTCTAATTCAGAAATGTCCAACTTCTAGGCAGACAGCAGCTACACCCTGCACAGGCTGTACCAGCAGGGACTGCATGCCCTGCAGGCTGCAGTAGCATGAGTTATAGGACCCACAGGCCTTCTCTGCTTGGATTGTCCCTGTCCATCCCTCCACTGTTGCACTGCATGCACGGGTAGGCAGGTCTCCTACCAGATTCCATTCTGTACTGCATGACAGGCTGTGCCACACTGCCGCTTGGCACTGGCTTCTTGGGCAAGTGCAGGAAGGAGTCAGAGGGGAAGCCATGAGCCACTGGCTGTAGCTGAGCAATAGGGGGAACAGCAACCAGGTGAGAGCCCAGGGGCCATGGATTAACCCCTCCTGGGCTGTATGCAGCCAATGAGCTATCAGTTGACCAGCCCTGGTCTAGTTAAGAAATTATATAGAAAGGATAGAGGATGGAATTCCATTTCCCTTTGTAGATCTAAATGGCAGTTTTCTGGTCACGTAAGTGGTGGCTTTGGCACTTGTACACAGTTTCCAATTCTCTTACCCCTGCACTGTAGACACATGAGTGTCTGTGCATAGACTAAGAGTGTTCGGTAGGCTATGCTCTGTCCAGATAGGTGTGTGGCTATGTGCTTGCAAAAGAGAGAAGGCAGTTGATAATGTCTTCCTATGGTGGTGTGATTAGAGCTCTGTGCTTTGATGTCCAGGAGACAAGTATTCAGTTCCCCTCTGGGAGAAAGGGAGCTAGAACCGGGGTTTCTGGCTTCCTGTGCAAGTGCCCTAAGTATTCAGCTATTAAGCTAAAACCTGGGAAGACCCTTTTTTTTGGTATCTGACACCAGTTAGGTGTGGGTTTTTGTCTGTGTACATTTTTATATCTTACACTTCCAGAAATGGTGCATTTATGTAGCCACCTGCGTAGGAGTCCTAAAGGTGCATGAGTACATCAGTTCATATCATACTGGCATCAATAAAAAGGAAATTCACATAATCGACAGTTGGCTTTTTTTGGCTGATGTGGCCAATAATGTCACTGATAAATGCTGCAGCATGCACATGGCCAGGAGTGCAGCCCAGCAGCTTGGAGAGCGTCATCTGGCCAGTAAGTCTGAGGGAGGGAAGGGACACAGGGGGGTGCAGATTGAGGCCCCCACAGTGTGGGAGGGAGTGGGGCTGGGGCAGGGGCAGGTGCTGCACAGCCGGGGTGGTGCAGGACATGGGATGGAGCTGCAGCTTGTCTGGGGGATGTGGGGAGGGGGAGACAGCTCCCACCACTGTGTGCACCCTGGGGGAGGCATGGGGGCTATGTGCCTCTCAGATCTGTGCACAGGTTGAGGGTGGGCTGGGGACCAGGGCCTGCTCTGGCCTCTTCCCAGTGGGGGTGCTGGCCCGGCCTGTGCTTGGGGTGGGTAGGGGCAGGGTGGGCAGTGGTGGCGCTGGGAAGGGGGCTACAGGTTGCTGTAGCCCCGCCACACTGTAGCTGCCCCTCCCAGCACTGCCACTGCCTGCCCCACTGCTCCAAGTGCAGCCCTGGCCCAGCCCCTCCACTGGCAGGAGGCCAGTGCAGCCCCGGCCTTGAGCATGCAGAAGGCAGCTCACCCTCGCCCCACGCACAGATCCTGAGGGCACATGGCCCTTATGCCTCCCCAGGGGTGCATACAGCAGTGGGAGCTGCCGCCCGCCCCCCAGCCCCAGACTAGCTGCGGCTCCATCCTGCATCCTGCCCTGCCCTGGCTGTGCAGTGCCAGGTCCTGCCCCTGCCCTTGTTGCAGCCCCATTCCCCCCTCACTGTGAGGGACTCAATCTGCCCACCCCCAGACTTACCTGCCAGACTGCATATTGGCAATCAAATAGGTATTGACTGATATGCCTGGTCAATAATCAGTCATCAGTATCATCCCAAAAAATCTTTATCGGTGCACCCATAGCATCCAGGGCATAGACTATTGTACATGCTCAGTCTACATGCATATGCTTACACAACTGTCTTGCAACAGTAATAGATATGCAAAGTGTCAGAAATGCCAGTCATGCTTCTAGAAAACTGCTCTTTAGATACACAATGTTAATAGTGTTCTGCCTCTAATATCTATCTGTCTGCCTACCTACACTGCAGGGGTAAGAGAATATATATATATTTTGAGTCTTAAGGTATTTTCAGAAGTGATGCCCCTATTGGTAGAAAAAATGTCCTATTTATTTACTATGTATTTCACACTCTAGTTTTATAAATGTGAACCAATGGAGCCTTTATCTCTACTGTAGTAGACCTCACCTTAAGATTTTTTTTTTCTAGTTTTTTATCTAAATATTCCTGTTTCTGTCCCTTTATTGTATTGTAACTCTTGTGCTGTAGTGAACAGGTCATCTCACTTGCTCTTGATTATACCTTCTAAATATTTTGGAGTTATTTCTCCCAATCATTCATTTATTTTCCAGCCTAAGTATATTTACTTGTGTTAGCCATGCTTGCAACCTGATCGGTTTTTGTTGCTCTGTGTTTTATTTCTTCAGTTTTGCAATATACCTTTCTGGTGGTGGTAGCAAAATAATAACAGTAATAATATTAATACTTTAAAGTATTTGCTGAGCACAACAAAATCTAAAATCAATTGCAGCTGGCTTAGATAGATGTGTCATACTTGCTGTGTCTGTCTGTGCTCACCAGCCACACCCCGTACAGGTGCTCCTGGGAGGTCAGGGACCTTAAGCCTGACAAGTGCCTGCCTGGCTTCCCCCATTTGCAGAAGCATTATCCAGAAATCCCCCAGCAGGAGATTTGCCAGGTGTGCGTATCACTTTGATTCACTCTGACTCAGGTGCATCTCTGTAAATGGGGGAGCCCCAGGTTCCCTGCTTGTTTGTGTGCCCCGGGAATCCCCTGGCAGGGGATTCCCTGGGTGTGTATAGTGCTGCTGCTCCTGAGTAAGGACACACCTCTGCAAACAGGAAAACCCTGATGTTCCCTGCTTGCAGAGGCAAGCCTGAGTGATCCCCCATTTGCACAGATACACTCTGAGTCTTGTCCCTCAGGGCCCCAGCTGCTCCTGGGAGTGGCAGGATTGAACCCTGCGGCACAACTGGTAATGTCTGTTCTATAGCCGTATAGATCAGTTTTTCCTCGATTTTCTTTTGGGTGTTTTCTTTTTCTTGTTTGGCTGTACTCTCATATGTACGCTACTTCAATCCAAAGAGAAATGGCAACTTATTATAAAAAATATATTTGGTAATTAAATGCATTTTTGATACAGACCCAAAAGTTAACTTTTGTTGAATGGGTATATGTACTTGCACAGGTATTTGTGGAAAGGGGATACAAAAATACTTAGTTTTGTAAAGAAAAATTCTATTTAAGAGTTTCCAAAAGTAATTTTCCTCATTTTTCACACAAAAGTTAATAGTACAACACTCTAATTGGCTGCTTTTATGTCATTACCTGGCCGAGCTTCTCTGTTACAGGGGCTGCACAAATTTTCCTGTACTAGTCTGAACTTCTCACATGAAGGCAATTCTATAAGCACTGCATGTAATCAATTGTATGTTTTCTTCAGATTCTCAAGATTATTGTGATGACAGTTGGAAATGTTCCACCTGATTTCCAAAAGGATTCTTTTTGTAGGATAAAAAATGCAAAACAAACCAATATACTTTGTGAAAATGAAAAGCAACAAATCTTGAACTGCAGCTGCAGTGTAACATACACAGCACCAACTACCAATGGTATGTTTGTTTAATACTCACATATTAACTACTGACCCACCTTCTTTTATCAGTAAAGATGGGATATATAGGCCCAGTGAGCATTTCTATTGTCTTTGGGCATGTGTACGAGACATGTGCTGCACAGTTATCTAATTAATTGCGCAGTAAACAGCTCAGCATCTACATGTGCGCTCCCATTAGGGTGCACAAAACTAATAACTCTGCAGCAGGTTACCTACTGCTGCAGAGCTGCTTTGTGTGCAGCAGCACACATGTAGATAGTGCCCCAGCTGGTTGAGGCACAGGTTGCTTCAGCATGGGGCTAGCTGATAGGCGGCGCCCGTGTGGAAGCCCCTCGTGCCCCAGCCAGCCCCTCTACAGCATGTACAGTCCCATTGGAGCAGGTGTGGGCTGGCATTCTGACCCCTCCAGATCCCCTGCCAGCCTGAGACATTTGGTTTAATTTATTAACATCCTGAACTTTATTGTGAGCTCCAGTCTCACTGGATTGTAGCCATTGGGAGCTGTTGCTATAGCAGGGTCTCAGGATCTCATCCTGTCTTTGCACAGAAAAAGCTCCCATTGGAATTACAGACTACAGAGAGCTAAGTAGCACTTCAGAGGAGTTTTTGAGTGTGGTGATTTCTTTTCTGATGCTGGTTTTTTTTGGGGGGTTTTTTGTTTTGTTTTTGTGTTTTGTTTTGTTTTGTTTTGTTTTTTGGGTGTTTTTTTTTTTTTTAAAGCAAATAGGAAAGCTTTTGTATGCGACAGCTGGGGTAATACATGTGATGACTTCAGGCCATCGTGCTTCTTGTAACCTTTATTAATGGACTTTTTAAAAATCAAGGTGTCATAAAGTCACTGAGAATTTACAAAAGATCCATTACTGACCCATTCCAAAGCTGTATATTTGTAGTTATGGAATTTACCCTCATTTACTTCCTACTTTTTAGGGGCCAGGACTTTTTCTTTCTCTAATGCCTACCCCAACAAGGCTCTGAACTCAGCTGGAGCACCTTAGTACTCCTGTCATTCTCTTAGTGCTGCTTATCAGTTACTAATAGAACCAGAGATGGCTATATATAGGTTGAAACTTATATGCTACCTCATATTAAGGGTTCTTCACCTCATCAGAAAGACTTCTAGGATTCCAGTGGTATCTCCTCCAGGGAAAATGTTTTGAAAATATTGGCTACTTCATGCAACCTAGTAAATTCAAAAGGCAAAATACTTGTTCTTCTTGAGCTCAGTCCAGCTTATACTGAAACCAGTGGCAATCTTTCCACTGACTTCAGTGGAACCTTGGTCAGTTGGGGGCGAGTCAGGCTTGATTTGATTTTGTTCTATTATGTGAAGTAGGGGATGATTTCCAGCAGTCAGAGGAAAATCTCACTTTGCCCATTCCCTTCACTTCTGTACTTTACCAATAAGTTGTGATTTGTCTCCAAGCAAGGCTCTCTCATCATGCAGTTATAGAGGCAGGTGGCTAAATCTCTGCATTTTGGGCCAGATTTTCAGAGGTATTTAAGTGCATAGTGAGTGCGTAGCTGCATCTTTAGGCATCTGATTCCCTATAAACATCTGGGGGGTTTTCGTTCATTTGAGAAAATTACCTAAGCTCCTGAACAGTCCCAAGATTTGTCTCATTTGGTTCAGCTAATGCATGCTAAATGTACAATTTCCCTTGCTTACACTGGGCATTTAAAATGTGCCTGCTGTCACATCCTGAAAACCCATTGCTTTCTTGTTATAGACAAGCCTGTAGTCCTAGCTTTAATTTGAGCTCTGGCTGTCATTCTTTCTACACACACATGCACGCACACACACACAAACACACACCTGTGTGTGCATGTACGCACACACTAAAGAGACCAGGATTTAAATAACATGTTCCTTGAATGTAGTATTCTGCTCATGAGAGAGGAAGATACTGTTTCATTCCACAGCTGCCAGTGAATTGTTGGTATAGTAATTACTGGCTCAAATAATAGCAAATTGACTTGTAGTCATAAAAGATTTAAATAGGATGAAAATTGCTACTGCATAGAGAACAACAGAAGGTCATGAAACAGAAGAAAGTCTTGCACATGAGCCTGTCTTGTGGTTAAAGCATGAAACGAAGTCAGCAGATCTGGGTTCTGGTCCTGGTTTAGGTACTGGCGTGCTGTATATCTGCTTCATATCTCTGTGGTGGAATTTCCCTATCTGTAGCCTGAAGAGAAATATTATTTCTGTTATGCAGAGGTGATCTCAATCCTAAGGTAGTCGTGGGGAATAATTGTTTTGGGTACTTTGAATATGTTAGATGAAAAGTACTATGAGAAGCACAAAACATTGGCACCATTTATTATATAAAGCAAAAGTGTAAGTGTGTATTAGAGAGTGAGCAAATGCACCAGCTAGGATGCAGCATCATGTGTATGGGTTATAAAGATGGGGATATTGATTTTTTTTTTCTAGTTCTGTCTTGTAACATAGCATCTGGTATAGGTCTAATAAAACTGACTTTTTACAGATTGTTCGGCAGTTGAAGTGTCCGTCATCTCAGGCTCTTGGAATTTATCAGAGACAGTTCTGTTGCCAAAGTAAGAATTTGCTTTCTAATTATTTTCATCAGAGGATTTGTGTGTTGGGCAGAGGATATTGTCTTTTAGTATTTTTAAAAAGAGGATAAACTTCAACAGAGGCGGTTTTTCTGTGCCCATTTTCTCCCCCTCTCTTTTTTTCTCACCTTATAAAGTTACTTTCATAGGGTGCGTGTTCAAAGAACTATGTCTGTATTTACTGTTTTATTTAACAGGACCCCGTCAACTATAAGAGAGTTGTAACAATGCTTATCACTTCGGGTAGTCTCCCAGTAAAAAAATATGGGCTATAATCTTGAAGTCAATGGATGAAGGGCCATCATTAAAATCTGGAGAAAAGGAGCTGCAAAGGTGTTCCCTTTGTGCAGTTTGCTTCTAACTGAGCAGGACACTATTCAATAGGGTAGCTGCTCATAAATGGAAATACTAATGGAGAATAACACCTAATAAAATAACAATATTAATGAAAGCTTGAGGAGCTAATGTTTTCTTATATGCTTGTTATTTAGGGCTATACTGTTCTCTCAACTCTCGTTGGTATTAGTGAGAGCAATTCATACACAATGTAGGCAGATGGTGTATGTGTGTCTAGGTAAGCATGTATACACATATAAACATAGATTAGTAAGAAAAGGAAAAATGCATCTGAATTTCTCCCACTGATACCCACTGAGAGTTCTGAGAAGTGTGGCCCTAAATAATGAGCTCATAAAAAAACTGTATGGAGAACATAAAAAGACAGCACCAGTATTTCATTTTAGAATTCTCTTCTCCCCAGTAGAGACCACTTATCAAATGATAAGTACTTAGGAATACATTTACAGTCTGCCCTGTTAAGCCATGTCACACACCTTCAGTGTCTCAGTGGCAACACAAGGAAGGAATCCTACGTCTTTGAGCCACAGTGCTTTCAGTGTTCTCCTGCTGGGCCATAACTGGGGGTAGCTGATGTATTAGTGTAGGATACAGGAGGGGCAAAGAGAAGTGCCTCCCTTCCATGCCCACTGCCCACTCAATAGCTTGAGAGATGAGGCATAGCACATAAGCAGCACCTGTTTACATCTCCATCTGCAGAATGGAGGACTGGGGAAACTGCAAGAGCATCATGGTGCTGTCATAGTGCCCCTGTTTGTGCTGAATAGGCCAGACTTTGATCTGGCAATTGGGCCATTAATATAGTGGAGAAAACTACCACTGTGTGGAAGACAGCATTTTCTGCTTCCTTTAACATAATTTTCAGATTCTCAAAATAAAAAAAATCCTTTGGTAAGCAAAAAGGGAGTATCCCTTTTCTCCCTTGGCTGTCTGCCTCCCCTCCCCCAGTCTCAGGACCAAATACTTCCTCCCCCTGAGTGGCTATGGAGGGAAAAGACAGCATCTCAGAGAGTTTCACTTTCTCTGGGACAGAGCCCTGGCCCTGTTTGGAGATTCTAATCCAGAGAAGTGTTCTCTTTGTTTTGCTACATCTTACTGGCTAGCAGCCCTCTTCTGTTAGGCTTGTATTTTTTTTTGCATAACTTGGTGTTTCATGCTCACAAATGAAGCTAGATAAGTCTCTTAAATTTATGCAGATTGTTTATTTTTATATTATCAGCTGCTTACATTGCAGTGGTACTGGTGAAAATGATTGTTCCTGTTGGCCTAATGATGATGTCATAGATCAGGTAAGGTTCCTTGGGATTTATGGAATTTTGTGCTTTACCCTCCCCCCCCCCCCCTTTTTTTTTTTTTT